CGGAATTTAAAATCTTTCGCAATCCAAAAAATACTAAACTTACCAACGATCTCGATCGGTCAAAAGTATATTTTATTGACAAAAATATACTCATAACAAGCTGCAAATGAAGGATTTATTCGAGTGTTGTCGCCGTATGAACGGTAAAGTAAAGTTTAGTCTAAACTATCACGACGAAGAAATATTTCTAATTTTAACAGTTGAAACATTGATCATTGGTCAAGAGGTACTTACCGGTTTACCTTCTACCTCTTTGAGCTAAAAGTCTCTGAGTGTGTAATTTAACCAGTCTTACTAAAAATGATGAGTCGTTTTGGGAGGATCTCTGCAAATTTCGTACTATTTCCTTAAATGAACTGCATGATTTGTATCGCGGGTTCCGAATATATTCTCAAGAAAAGTAAAATGGGGAAAATTGAAAAGCAGCTTCGTTATGATAATAGAAATGAGGTTTCCTCCTCGTCGTGGCATTTTGGCTCTGAGGTTCTTGAATAGTAGGTTATAAGGCTGGTTCTGGCCCAAAGACCTTTTCCCAACCATCCAAAACAATTATAAATCACCATCTTGGAAACTCCCAAGACCCCAAGCCAAAACAACTTTTCCTGGAATCAGCGTGCTGGTTCTGGCCCAAAGACATTTTTCAAACCTATGAGACCGTCAAATTGTTAAACACTATTTTATTGTTCATACAATATTTCATACTTTATTTTATAATTCTTTTAATACCTGTTGACTCTCATTGGTAGGAACAAATATACTCTATTATTTTAAGGTTTAAAAAAACCTATAATTTTATGTGTCACGATTGCTAAGTTCAGGTTATCCGGAAATGTATAAACTTGGATATTATTACCGCGTTTGATGTGTACACAACACCGCAGGCCAGTGTTAATCCTTATGAAAGTTGTCAGCCGCTCAGACTATAGAAGAGCCGCTAGTAAAAGGTTTGTAGTCCTCAGGCATTCAACATTGGTTCAGAGATCAAAAGGAAACCTGCTGGATGAAAATGGCGTGCTCTTACTCGCCACATAGACATACAAGTGAGAAGACATTATCCACTATATTCGATTGGGAAAGTCCACAGAGACATACAACTGGAATTAAGATTTTGGATGGGATTATACCTAAGATCAAAAATAGAGCTAAACATCGCTTTAAATTATCAGTAGATGCCTAGAAAGATCGCTATAGGGGATTTTGTAATCTTTGGACCAGAATTGTAAAAGAAGACAGACCTTCCGGTGCAAGTTTGTTAGTTCCGAGTATCTAAGAGGGAGATGGAAATGAGAATGACATTGCAGTCGGAGTCAAAAAGGTAAAGTCGACATAGAAAAGAGGGATATAAGGTGGAGGAAGAAAAAAGCAGTTTGGAAGAGGAAATAGAGGAGGAGGAGGAGGCGAAGGAACTTGGATGGAGTAAGAGACGACAAGACGTGGAATTAGGAGATAAGGGGGAATGCACAGATGAGCAGGACTCAAAGACAGGTGGAAATCTCTCACACTATGACTCAAATAACAAGCTAGGCAAGTAAAGGGTCGAGTGGAAGAAGTGTTTGGGAGGAAACTTGAATTATTGACCATTTAGTTGTTATTAAACTGTTATTATTGATCTTCACCCATTTTGGATCTATAATCCTTTAAACCATTGACATTACTGACTGGGATTCATCTAAATATCACTAAGTCAACTGCCACACCAAAATTGAGGCTGGGTGCTATAATTTAAATAAATATTGGAATCACCCCACCCCAATCCTCTGCAAACAAACCTCATAGTCGGGGCAAACTTGCCAATATGTAAAATTCGAAAAATGAAAATAACTTATATTTATTTATTTCTTCATTTCAAGGGCAAACAGGCAGTGTATATAAAACTCATACCTGTCAGAGTTATTTCCCTTTAATACTCTGTGTGGCACGTCCGCAGGTCAGCAAGGTCTAAATGTAATTGTGAATAAAGGTTCAAGTTTCAAGATTTCGTTTCTTTGTGTGACATGATTTGCATCAAATGACTTGCAAAATTATAAATCAGAGAGCTTTGAAGATATAACAAAAACCAAATATGTATCCAATAGTGCAGTGAATGATTTGAGTGAAATTCAGCCTGCTCGTTTTATTACATTACTAGTCTGGTTATAATAATAATAATAATAATAATAATAATAATAATAATAATAATAATAATAATAATAATAATAATAATAATAATAATAATAATAATAATAATAATAATAATAATAATAATAATAATAATAATAATAATAATAATAATAATAATAATAATAATAATAAAGTAAGGTGGACTTTCTACTGCCCCACTCTTTAGCGCTATACAGTATTAGATACCACAAATAATGTGTAAACTAGACTATGAATTTCACTTTACAATGTTATTATATAAACCAAGGTTAGTTTAGAAACCTGTAGGCCAGTTTCATCCAACAATTAGCTCAATTATTGAAAAGCATCCTCACCTCTGGACTGTTTAGTTGAAGCAAGCATTGTCAGCAGAACTTTAGAAACATCCTTCCCTTTGAAATATCGAAAGTAAGCACATAATTGTTTTATCATCCTTGCCATCTATAGACTCATCACATGCCAATGCAATAACTTGTGCCCTTTTTTGATCTTGAAGTAGCTGCTTGTACAAGTTTTCTGCAAGGTTTTCAACACATGGGCTTGCGGTTCGTCAGAAAGAGAGATTCCTGCAATCGCTCCAGTAATATTTTTTATCGTAAAATTGAGTCGAAGCTGCCTCTATTTTTCACTCTCTCACAACTTCTGCATTAGCGAATGGCTTCTTTTGTCTCTCCAAAGTCCATATTATACGAAACTAAGCCTCTGATGCGTTTTGCTGAACTGTTTTGGTCTTTCACATAATTGCCATGCTTCTCTTTATACATGTTTCGAGTGCGTTCATTTTATCCAAACGAAGACTCGATCCTGGAGGGTGTTAAGAATAAAAATCCGCGTGCTCACTTTCGTAATGTCTATTAATGTTTCCACTCTTTATCACGGCACGGTGACAAATCACGCAAATGGGTCGCGCATTAGTTAAGATAAAAAAGCCTCTGTCAATAATTCATGAAAAGTTAAATTTTCGCAATCCATTTTCGTCGCTTGTTTGGATTTGCCATTGTAGAGTTTCACAAAAACTATAATATAATTGTTCTTATCCGCAGTGTTACTTTACAGCTTTCAAAATTCAACCAAACCATGCCACGCTATAAATTCACGAAAAATTATTCGCCGGAAATGCATATGGTCGATAAATAGATTTATGGTACCACAACGTACAGGCATTAATACTTAGGCGAGACTGGTTTTGATTGGTTACAAAAAAATCAGTACTTGGTTGCAGAAATTTCAGTTTTTATGACTTTTACGCGGTCCACAATGAGCGGCCTGGCGGTCCAAACGGTGGACCGCGTCTTTCATTTGAATAATCCTGAGTAACCCTGATGTACTCCACAGAATGTAAAGCATTAGAACGGAACACAGTGGCTTATATTGTTATTATTCTTCAAACACAATTTAAATATACACGAGTACTTTGTTGGTGATATAGAGATTAAATGACAACAAATTAGATATTGTACAATAGTCATTATGAATACATAGTCATTAATTTAACAGTTAGATAATTTAGATAAATCACAAAGACGAATGCCAGAAAAGAACAGATAGTTCAAATGTGTATGTCTCTGTGTATACAGTTAAGAAGAAACAGAACAATTGATTAGAACAATAAACGAAATTACAAATAAACAGCACTCACTCCCTAGCCCAACGATCATTTGCAGACTCGAAGGATAAGCTTTCGGTTACAAGGAAGCTAATGTTTACAGAGATATGATTTGGTATGCTTTATCAAATCTCTTGTTCCTTACACTATCTTTATAAACAGCATCGAAGATGCTAATGTTTACTTCATATGAAAGTGTTCTATTACCATTCAATAAGGTATTTAAAACTTAAATACCAAATGTTATAAAGCATTAAACCGAACACTGCCTAGTCCGTAGGAAGAATTTGGGATGAAACGTGTCGGTAAAGTTCGACGAGACCATATTTACGAAGATGTGCGTCAATTACATGCTGTTGAAAGTAAGCTGTATTTTATCCTGGAAGCATGAATGTTGTTAGAGTTTCTTTTATTCCACCAAAATTGTCTGGGACCTTAGTATCATGAAATGTAATATAATCGAAATAGTTGCTATGGAGTTGCTTATGATTAGTGCATGAATTTTGTCGTTGTATTTAAGATTCGCATTTTAAGATTTTATTTCTGAGCTCAATTGTTTCAAATTGTTTTAAACCTGTCCAGGATAGAACAATATTGCCACTATAAATCGAAGTGTATTATATATTTCTGCATTTCACGATTTATGCATTTAAAACAGTCTTGCATATGTAACTTCATATGTCTAGTACTACTATGCTAATGTTTCACAGAGATATCTGGTATTAATAGGTACTTTATGATGATGCATTCATCAACTCAAAATCTTTCTGGAAAGTGTGCACCAATCTAAAGCTGCATTTTTTTCTGAAGTAAGATTTAACCAATCCTAAGGCTGCATTTGTCAATTTTAAGTAAACTTTAACCAATCCAAAGGCTGCTTTTGTCTATTTAAAGTAATATTTCATTAATCTAAAGGTCGAATTTGTCTATTTGTTGCAAGATAAAAGTTTTAAGTGATATGCTGTTTTCAATTTGTCGAGTACTGTTTCAATAAGGTTTAAACGAACAGCTTTCGTGTGCGCATTTTTGTTCCATAACGGCGGTCGATTTATGCTGCATTGTCTCTTAGATTAAAAGCAACACTTTTACTAGTAAATGTTAAATTTGTATAGCTTTCACTAGTTTTATTTTAGTCTTTTAAAGACACTAAAGTAATGTAGACGAAGTATGTTGATTTTTATCTAATGCTTCAAATATCTTTCTCAGATGAATGATATGTGTATTCGAAATAGGACAGAACACGTGGCGTTAGGGTCACTCAGTGACCTAGTGGTTAGAGCATCCACCGCGGATGCGGGAGGTCGCGGGTTCGAACCACGACTGAGTTATACCAAAGAATTACAAAAATGGTACTAGCATCTGCTTCACATAGTTCTCAGAATTACGAGATTGACGTTAGGAGTGGTAGGCCTAGTGTCAGGGTAATTTGACTGGGTGGGACACAATGCTACCTGTCGGCGGCAGGATGCCCCAGTGTAAGACATCACCATGAACTGTCACACTGCAGTTATCGTAAAGATATAACTGAAAATGGTTGAAACTACGATAAAGATCCAAATCACACACACACTCTCTCTCACACACACACTCACACACACACACACACACACACACAAACACAAGACTGTTGTGTTAAAATATTATTGGACATTTAGATAAGACACGTAAATGGATTTATAAACGGTAACGTGTATTTACATATCGCTATTGTGTTATTACTAAATATTGTATGAATTTTAATATTGGCACAATAAAGGGCAAATAAATATTGCAATTCCATGAATGCTAAGTTAATTTGTTTCGACAAGCAACTTATCATAATATAAAGTCATTTAAATTTCATAGAGATAGAGATAGAGATTTGTCGAAATATTTTTCTCTTAAATCATGACAATGTTTACAATGAATTTTGTACTATGATACTCTTCCAGAACCGACATATTAATTAGATGCCAGAAAGTACACAAAGGACACGAAGTAATACCATGTTTATGCTTATCATAAGGTGATGACTAAAATTCCATATTATATAACGAGCTTTACGGATGTAAATATGTAATGCTATGGAAAAATAGTTTTCGATATATAATAGCGTTTTATTATTTTAATAATACCTACATTTCGACGATTGTGTGATGTCATCGTGCCAAATTTGACTGTTGCAATCCTTCACACTTTACGAAAAAGCTGTTTCTTATACGCTACCACTTCCATCATTCTACGATATCCTTACAAAGCCAAACACACAGCTAAGTAGTATATTTCTTAAATGTGATATCCAAATAACTCCAAGTAACTCTTCAGTTATCAATTAATGATTTGAACATTTTAGAGCATACATATTATCTGCATTGAGATTTGGACTTACAATCACTAAAAAAACATTATAGAAAAATAGTTATGATTTTAAACATTTTAAGTTTTGTTTACATATTTCCACATTGTTTAGACATTGTATACATACTATCTCAACATGCCACACACCGCAAATCTCCAGAAAGGAAGAAATAAAGGCTAATTATTTTCAGTCCATGTATATGTGAAAATTTAGTGGTTATGTCATACATAATTAATCATAAACTCATTTAAATAAAATTACACAATTTAAATGAAAAAATGTATGCTAAATAGATGTCTTTGCACTAAACTTTTATTTACATAACGTAAGGAAACCTTAATTGTTGGATGTGCAAGCTAATCAGAAAATCATAAGTAAACTTCCGAAAAAAAAAATTAGGCTTTTCTACTGAATACAAAAAATTAGGCTTTTCTACTGAATACTACTTATAAAGTATGCAAGAAGCTTGTATCATATTTGAATCAGATAAAAGAGCCTGTCAGTAGTAGCATATATATATATATATATTTATATATATATATATATATATATATATATATATATATATATATATATATATATATATATATATATATATATATATATATATATATATATATATAAATTTATGCTACTATATATATCTATCTATATATATATAGTAGCATAAATTCATATATATATATATATATATATATATATATATATATATATATATATATATATATATATATATATATATATATATATATATATATATATATATATATATATATATTTATATATATATAAATTTATGCTACTATATATATATAATATATATATATATATATATATATATATATATATATATATATATATATATATATATATATGTATATGTATATGTATATGTATATATATATATATATATATATATATATATATATATATATATATATATATATATATATATATTTATTTATTTATATATATATATGCATACCAGACTAGATATCCCGATCTCTTATAGACAACGAGTCAAAATTTTTGATTTTTATTAGTTTCGTCAAAAAAGTTATCTTTTAAGACTCTACGCCAGAAATAAAATATAAACCTGTAAGTAATCACATAAAATAGTTATTAATAAAATAAATAACACGATGAATGCACATGTACATGTTCAGCTTTACAGCTAGACTTGACACGGTGTAATAACGATACACATTTAAATGAAATTATTATCATGTATATCTATAGTAAGTGCTTAGATTATGTTCCTATGATTTGTTAATTGTACTTTAATGTAATATGCATTAGCAAGCAGGATGCTTGCATGAATAATTTTTACCCATGGCTATAAATATATTGTTTATAAGATGAGAACATTCTATAAATAGACTTGTTTATAATTTGATTGGAAATTTCCATTACAATGTATTACGTAATTACGTCTAGGTCAAGTGAAGTTGTGTGCAAATAGATACTTACTAAACAAATAGCTATTTAAATATCAATCCGTTGTAATCATTTACAGTTATATTGTGATTCTAGAGGACTTACTTATCTAAAGTGTTAATTGAATAACTAAGTACAATTTAACTTTAGATTAATACATCACTTCGAAATTATTATGAACTTGTCCAAAGACATTCTGTATTGCATCTTGTTGGTATCTCGGGTCTTAATTTAAGACCTAGATTCGTAATAGGAAACAAATAGACAAACAGACAATAATATAAATATTGTTACGGCGTTTTGTATGTAGAAGCAACGCGTACGCCAAATTGTCTAACATTAACATCTGTATGTTAGTTACTAACTCTACATTTGACTTTAAGGATGACGGAAATTTGTACTAATTTACCTTAATGACTAATACACAACAGCACATAAAGATTATAGCCCATTTTTGCTGAACGATTTTAATTTACTTGAAATCATGCATTACCCATTGGAGTTTTTGGGATTTGGTAAGTTTACCGTGACAGAAGTTAAACCAATAGAACAAACAATGGACAGGAATCAATTCGTTCTTATTAAAATGTTCGATTCTAAGTAAGATACAGCTTATCACTCACAAGAACACGACAGTCAGAAGGAATTGGAAAGCTTCGTAACATCACTTCAATGAGAAACACGTGACCACGTTCTCGGGAAATGAAATTTTATGTAATCAACACAATTATGCTCTTCATATGCTCATGCTTAGTTTCAAAATTTGTGCATTTTTAAGTTCAGCAGTCAAACTTGGTACGACAGCTTATATCCAATGGTCATCATTTCGTAAAACAAGCTAGCTTAGGTCCAACAGCATTTTACTAAACATTGCTCAGCAAAACTGTCCAAAAGTTGTCACAGAACGGTTGCATTATTCTATCTGCTTCTCATTGTTTGCATTCTGTTTGAATAGTAAAATCGGTGAAAAGCTTCGGTGTGCATATGGAATTAACTTCAACATCACTCTTAACCAATTGCATTAAAGAATTTTCCAAAGGGGAGGAGGATTACAAGTTACTGACATCCAAAATGTTCACACGTATTATACTTTCTTTGTGTGTTCAAGTACAACATGTTATGCGAATGTTTTGTGTCAAGGATGGACAGGTTATATGATGCTTCATCAATTCTAAGAAATGTCTTACGATTTAAAGTGTGGTGCTTATAATTAATTAAATTGCAGATTAATTATTTATAAGCATCTAATAATACATCAATATCATATTGATCGGAAGACATGCATTTCTCTTGGGTATGTAACGTTAGCCAATCACATTGAAGAATACGTCTCTTATCAAATAGCACAGCTAACACAGAATAAAAGTATAAGTCGAGTGTGAGTAACTACTTTTGCAGAAGGCTTCTTTAGGAAATACATATTTGCACGTATTTCATATTATAAACTATGTATTAAAATAGACACTTTTTCAAAACATAATTTTCCAACATTAAAATTATTTTGTGTCAGATTTAACATTTCTGACTTTCTCATTAACGTGTGTTAAATTTAAATACATACTTTGTTCTGTATCACATTTACAAAGATGCAAAAACGAATATGGTAAATTGCCGTGACACATGTCAGCACGTGTGATGTTCTTGGTGTATAAAAGGCAATGGAATGAAACGTGATACCATGTTACAGTTGAGCGTTTCTATACAGCTGGCTTGTTTACCTGCAGAAGGATGTTGGCGATACATACATTAAGTGTCTTAATTGTGTTTGTGACAGCCTTTGTTCATGGAGGTGGCGGCAAGTTATTTTCGTGATTCAAATTACAAATTATTTCTTAAGTTTGTTAGAATGTAGACTCTAGATCGATTCATAAAATTTTGATAGCATTAATTTATTAGGTTATTTAGTAATTAATTAATAATTTACATGTGGTTAATTACTTTATTTTAATTAAGATATACATATTTCAATTATTTAAATAGTCAATCTATATATATATATATATATATATATATATATATATATATATATATATATATATATATATATATAAGGTTGGGGGGTGTGAGTAAGTGTAAGCAAAGGTCAAAAACAATCCCGATGTATTCATATATTTTAATGATTTCATAAAGGTAGTTGTCCTTAACATTGGAAACTGTTTGCATTTAGACATCACCTATGTTAAATATACATTTATTAGGACACTTAGAACTCGTGAGCACTATATGATATTCATTCTGTTATATGGTTTGATTCTAAATGGAGATGAAACGTATGGAGATGCATATTATTATGTTATCCTCTTCATCTATACCACCCCTTCTCTCTCTCTCTCTCTCTCTCTCTCTCTCTCTCTCTCTCTCTCTCTCTCTCTCTCTCTCTCTCTCTCTCTCTCTCTCTCTCTCCAAATTTTGAATTTCACATATTATTTCATTTACCCTTATACACGTTTATGGGCGGTGATGTTTGGACAAAACATATAATGTTTGCCGTTACAGGCTTGTATGGGAGGGTATGCAGATACTCATCGGACGGACCTAAGTGCAAAACCGACC